ACAGATGTTGAGTTATACTGCATGCAAAAAAACAAAACCAAAAATACCACCAAAGAAGACAGTACCTTGAGCATGGTGAGATACTGTGGTACACAATCAGAGTATAAACAAGAATAATATAGGGCAACAACAAAACATTAAAAGGAAAGATAAAATGACCAAATCTCTATTGTGATATGATAACAATTTGGTATCAACATAAAAAGCACTCTCTTAGAAATAGAAATTTTGATGCGACGCTGATAGAATCCAGAAAACTGAATTCAAGATTAGACACACTTTAGAAGAAAAGATGAAGAAGCATGAAAACTACAGGTAAAGTGGCCCAGATGAAAAAGCATGTAGGACCACACACAAAAGAAATAAGAGAACGAGAAAACAGCCCTAAACCAAAAGGTTGGACGGCAATAAATAAGCTTCATATGTCAACAATTACCCTAAACCTTTATGGTCTGAACTCACCAATTTAATGCTACAGATTGACAAATTGTAAATACACACAGCTTGACTTCCCTACATGATGCATACAAGAGTCTCACTCCAGAGCTAAAGACAAATACAGACTAAAGGCAGGATGGGGTGGGAACAAGGTATTTTAAAATAATACCATCGAGAAAAAGCAGGGCTGTTATTCTGGGATCTCATAACAGAGATTCAGCCAAAACACTAATCAGTGGGATGAGGTCATCAACATGGCGGTATAGAGAGGTCAGGGTCACTTTCCTCATAAGACAACGTTAAAAACGGATGAATAATGAGACCTTAGCAAAACCCAGATGTTTCGAGCCAGTTATGGGACACCAGAAATCCACCTGGAATAGAAGACCGCAGAGGGGACACAAAGAAGGAGAAACCCTCAACGCACAGGCCACCAAAATCGCCAGCAGCATACCACCCTGACTGGGACCCAGCTTGGAAACCTCAGGACCCCACCCTACTATATCTGAAACCTTTGGATACCCAGTGGTGGGCGACCAAGGCCACAGCTCCTGCCTCCAACTCCACAGGTCCTTTCTTTTCTTTCCTCCTCTTCCTGGGATTGGGTTGAAACTCTGGAGTAAACCCTTACTGAGAGGCGCATCTCACTCACCCTCTGGCGCCACCTAGTGATCAGGATAAAAACCAACGACTACCAGAGCCTGTTGAATACTGAGCACAGCCACAATACTCAAAAACCCCTCCCAATTGGAACCCCGAAACTGCTGTGCCCTGCATTGGACACATCGCTGCCCACAACTCAGCCAGGAAGTGCATTCCACTTGGCCTGCTGCACGCGTCCACGGACAGGGCCACAGCTGGAGCCTCGTGGTGCTGGGCCTTCCATCAGGGGCCTCCAGACACCCTAAGCCCTCTGGGTACTGGCAACTTCAGGAGCCCTCACACCAGCCTAGCTATCAAAGGGGCTCAGACAGAGTGCAGGTCCACGGGTCAGTGCGCATCACAGGAAAGCCTGCCCCTGAACCTTTCCAGGCCCAGGCAGCGCCCAGCTCCATCCCTGCCAAAGAATGAATCAACACTCAAGGAATGGGGAAGAAGAGAGAAAAGAACAGGGAAGGAGAGAGCACAAGAGATTAAGATGACAGTTCATAGGTGTCTTGATGGTGGTAATTCTATGGGGACAACATCTGAGAGGAGAAACTAAACACTGCACAAAAATGAACAATGTAAAAATAAATCTATATAAATTAAAATTTTTAAAATACACAATAAAATCTAACCATTTTCAGTGAAGAAAACAAAGCAGTGATCAGTGACAATGCCAGATAACAGATAATGCTCTAGGAAACATTTCATCAAGAAGATGCAACCTGATGACATACTGTGAGCTGGCATGGTGCCAAGGCTCCCACCTTGCTTCCTCTTGGGCACACCATGTGCTGAGTGGTCTCCCCACACTCATCTCAGGACACTGCACCAGGTGGCAGCGTCTGGAGGATCCCATACGTGACCCCCCCACCCCAGGCCCTGCTGTTTCCTCTCCCTGGAAAATTCTCTCTCTTCACTTGGTGTCCTCATCCTCCTCAGGTTCACCTTACTGTTGCATCCACAAGAGACCAGCCTGGATCCCTCTAAACAGGTTTTCCCCACTCTCCAATGGGCCCTTTGTTCACTTTCTTCATAGCTCTTGTTACTATCTACAGTCTATGTTATTTTTTATTCACTTATTACTGTTCTTCCTCCAAAGAATGAAGGGGCCAGACCATGTTAGTCACATTCCCTGGGACAGCTGGACAGTGCTTGCACATTTCATGTGTTGCTAAAATGGAGGTGATTTCTGGATTGGATGATAAGCTATTTTCTTTCAAATGAAAAAGCTTTCATCTTCAAAAGATTTCTCTCTGGCTGCAATACAAACAACATTGTGTCACTCAACAAATCCAGTGGTAGCTGGCTAATCTGGATTTGTTGAGTGACACAGGTACAACTGTGGAATGACTTGGACTAAGGGCAGTGGCTATGAGGCTGGTGAAGGGACTGACCTTAGCGCTGTTTAGGCCTGCTGACTGGTTTGAGAGAAAGAGCAGGTGGAGGGTGGGAGGTCCCCAGGCCTCCACAGTCATCCTCCTGTCCTCTACCCAAGGGACATGGGGTCTGGATGGTAACACTGGGTTCCAGAACACCCTGGCCTCTGCTTCCATCTGAGATCCAGCAGACAGGGAGACTGCACAATGCATTGCCCAAAACTGACAGGGTTCCTATGCCCACATGACCTGGTATCCACTTTCTCCTGTACATCCTAAAGCCCAATGTCTGATTTCTTCCTCCAGGAGACAGGTCGGTAGGAACCTGCCTTCTTGCCCTTTCTACACTGATTTTTGGTGACTAGGAACCTCCCCTCTATTGCCCCATGTCCCATTCAGTCAGGTCTTCATCAGATGGACTTCCTGGCCCCCATGTGTCCGTATCAATTTCAGTGCTCAGTGCAGAGAAGGCGGAGGAGGATTCCCTGATGGTGCAATAGGTTAAGTTGTAGCACTATGAAGCTCTCCACAGCCACTGCTGTGTGAGTCCGATTCCCGGCCAGGCAGCTGACCTACGTGGCCAAGCAGACCTCTCCTGACCCACCTGCTGCTTCCCTCAGCAGTGTATTTTGGTCAATCTGCCTGTTTTGCTTCCCATTCTGTCTCTGGTGAATATCCTCACCTCTGGCCTGTACCCCAGTTCTCATACACATACATAAATAAAATAAAACCACCTGGGGAAAGTAGGGTTCAGACACCTTTACCCGCTGCATCATCTTTTCCCCTGAAAGGCATCTGTTCTATGTCTCTGGCAAAATTTTGACCTATATAAATTTTCTTTCTGAGAATATTTCTAGATGATCATAAGGATGGGCTTTCTGAATGGACTCTATGTCATGATATTGGTCCTGAGTTTCAGTGGAAAGATAGGGAAGACTCTAAGCCAATGATTAAAGAAAAAAAGGACAGTGATAGATCATGGCATTGTGTGCAAATAAAGACAGCAGAGCATTATATTGCATGGTCCTACTCAAATACAAAAAAGGCAAGGTTCTGATCACCACATATTTGCTATTTTAGAGCATTTTAGGCAAACCAAGAGTATAATAAGAATATACTCTATTATACTCTTATTATACGGCTCCTATCAACACTTGAGAAAGGGATTAGAAAAGGATGAGGTCAAAGATTCAGTTTCTTCCAAACTACACCAATATACCCTGATGATTCTGTGTCCCCTGAATGTAACAATAGGCTGCGTGATCATCAACCAAGCCAGAGGTAAAAGCCTGAAAAGCAGGCACAAAATATCATCTTGCTGGCCCTCCCTGCTGGCACAACAGATTAAAGCACAGCACTAAGAAGCTAAAACCACTTCAGCATGAGTTCAATCCCCGCCCTGGAGGTGACCCACATGGTGTGGCAGACCTCTCCTGGCCTGCCCGCTGCTTCCCTCAGCAGTGAACTTGTTGATCTGCCTGTTCTGCTCCCCACTCTGCCTCTGGTAAATCCTCTCACCACTCCTGTACCTCTGGCCTGTACCCCAGTTCTGTATGCATAAATAATTCTTTTTAAAAAGTCATCTTGCCATTGTGTGAATTACAATGCAAATTGAAATTCCAAGGTTGTTTGTGTTCTGTTAACTGAGAACATTGATTGGAACATAAAAGAATGTGAAAATTGGAATAAGATTATTGAGGAGGATCCAGTGAATCTGGATACATCAAATCCCCAAATCTGCTATGCCTCTTTCGCCAGTTGGTGAGCGAACATGTGTGTGTATACACATATATGTGTATGTATGTATACACGCACATACATATGTCCCAATATGCATTCCAGAACCAGCGAAATAACCTCAGGATTGGTTTGGGTATACAGCATCAGCTTTGGTAATAGCTTGCAGGGCTGAGGAAAGGTCATACAGGAGGATTAGATGCTGCATATCAGTGTGTCCAGAAGTCATGTGTTGGTAACTTGATTTTGGTCAGTGCTGTTCATAAAAAAGGCATTGTGCCCTAGGCTGTGCTGAACACCCTACAGTAGTTTGCCGCTCCAGCTAGGCTAATGTAAGTACACTGGGTGATGCTTATACAGTCACGAAATCCTGGTCTTTAAGTGATGCATGCCTGTATTTGGTGCCATTCCTTCCACAGCCAGGATTCACAAGTCAAAAAATCACAAATGAAACTGGGAGTGCCACCACTCACTACTATCCCTACTGATCTGGTTAGGAACATTTTCATTGCGGCTAAAACAATCTTGTGCTATCAGAAGACCAACAGATCTACTCCCAAAGGCATAATGATGTTTCATTGAAATGTCAGGCCAAGAACAGAGAGAGCATGTGAAGGTGGGAAGTTGAAATGCAGGTGAGTGGCGCCAGGTGGGCAGAAAACAGACATGTGCAACAGGTGGGGGAAGTGTAAGTTGGCCTGGGTGGGCACACAGACACAGGACGTGGCCAGGAGGCAGGAGCAGATGAAAGCAAGTTGGGAGCCCGGCAGAAGGCCCTCAGACTGGTCCACATCCACGGGGTTACTGCAGCTTTTTGAGGTGCAGGTAGATTCCATTGCTTGACATCAGCACAACTTTTGCGCTTGGAATGGGGACCCTGAAGGGCTCCGGCGCCAGCTCAAAGCGGAGCAGCGTCAGGGCCACGGCCACCTTCATCTCGTTCATGGCAAACTGCTTCCCGATGCAGTTCCTGAGCGAGGATGGAAAATGAAATGGGATGCAAAGCCAGCCCGACACTGAGTCAAGGGGGACTGGCCACTGAGCGCTGGCCGGGAGTGGGCATTCACACTCCCCTTCAGTGACACCTAGCCCCGACCTCATCCTTAGGGTCACACACTCTACCCCTACGGAGTCCCCACTCTGCCCTGACAGTGACGAGGGTCTGGCCCTCCTCCTGGGTCACCCTCGTCCACCTGTGCTCTCGGCTCACGAGGACCTGTCAGGGCGGCCAGTGCTCCAAGCCACAGTCAGGTCAGCTGAGCCACAAAAGCAGCCAATGACGCGACTGCTCGCCCTGCACAAGCCGTGCCTGGCGTCACTGTCGGAGGGCATGATGGGGAGGGGCGGGGCGGGACACACGCTCAAGCCACACATCTAGGAGGACTCAAGGGAACCCTGGCCCTCCCAGTGTAGACAGAATGGGGCTGTGTAGAGAGGTCAGATGGAGAGAGGAAAGGAGCCCCTGTGGCTTGCTACCCTACAAGCTTTCTACCATCTGCCTCCAAGTCGTAGTACTGTCTTTTGACTCTCTGTCCCTAGCGCCAATAGCCCCTCGGTAAGCCATCTTCCAGAGCTTGTAATTCCACTATAGAAATATCATTTTTGCCATCTCATTTTTCCCCACCTGGGCAGTCTGTCTCAACCCCAGCCATCTCTCTACACTGTGTCCTCCTGACAGGTCAGGTCACTGTGACTCGGCAGACATCAATCCCTTTCTGGTTGTTCCCTCACTCACCAGTTACCTGGCCTGGCTCAGGGCATGTTCAAATTCATTGAAAATGAGCTAATACCAGGGCATCACCTCAGATAGCATACTGATGGGGGAGTCCCTAAGAGACATCGTCCAGTGACCCTCCCTCCCCTAAGCACAGGCTCCCACCTGGACCCTCCTGAGAAGGGCAGGAAAGCGTGGCTGTGCCGAGTAGCTCCAGGAGCAAACCGGGACGGGTCAAACACCTGCAGGGAGAGTAACAGGGTCAGGCCAGGGAGGGCAGCCCTTCCTTCCCGGGGGTGAGAGTGGCCTCGGGGCGGGGGGGGTGCAGCCTGAGAGGCTGTGGACAGGAGAGGCCCCCACACACTGTGGCTGACCTACCTCAGGGTTTGGCCACACATCGGGGTTGTGGTGTAGCCCATAAATGGAGAGCGACACAGTGATTCCTGTGGGATGGGAGAAGTGTGAGACCCTGGGGTGCCCCAGCCCCCACCCCTAAGGGCACTTGATTGAGCAAAAGCCCTGGGGCCCGGGCGGCCATGATGGGCGTGAAATGATCCTGTGCCAAGACAGGTGGGTGGACACGTGGCTCAGCCGTGTACACTAGGGAGAGCGAGTGCCCAGGAGGGGACGCTCAGAGCTGGACACTTCCCTAGGCAGCAACTTGAGCTGCAGCTCATATTATTCCCGCCCCTCTGTGAGCATTCAGTTCCCACCAACACCCTCAAGAAGGGCCTCACGGCCAAGGTTCGCGTGAGGCACCAGAGCCTCACAGGATGAAGGACCCGTGGCCAGGATGTGCAGGACAGGGTCAGCCCCGGAGGGCGAGGCCAAGGGAGCCAGCCACCACAGCAGGGCTCTCAGGTCTGTCTTCCTCAGCATTCACCCCATGTCTGCTCAGGGCCCAGACCATGCACTCATGTCGGGGGCTCCTGATCTCCCCAACCTGCCTGGAGTCCAAAGAAGTGGGGCGGGGAGCTCCTAGCTGCTGATTTCAGTGCAGCCAATCAGAGAAAGAAATCATAATTTAATATCTAAATTCCTGAAGCCACATTCAGGGCTGACATTTAAAGATTGAGCTTCTGTGGGAGCAAGTCCTGGGCCCTGCAATTCAACACTGCATG